AACATTATTTGTGCCAGCATTGTGGTGACTGTATACTGAAACATGGAAAGCATAGAAATAACCTCTTGATCAAAACTAGAAAGGTCTGACTTTGCCCTTTAATCGACCGCTCACCTCTCCAAGACCCACATAATGCCACACTCAACAAAACTTCTTTCAAGAATAACAAAACCAAAGGGAAAGTTAAACTACAAATCGTATCGAACATGAAATAATGTTGATCCTATTAGAAATATCTGAGATTTTTTGAGGTTCAACACGATCTGTTAATTTTTCCAGTTGATGGAAATGGAAACATTGAAAAAATGAAACAAGCTAGTTAGAATCATTCCTGGCAGAATAAGTATGGGAAAATTAGAAATATAGCCTTAAAAGATTTTATCATAAAACAGTTTCAAATCCTATTTTTATAAATATTTTAGCAAATCACACAAGATCGGAATTGTTTTATTTGTATAGCAACAAAAACATCTAAATGGCACCGTCATTCAATGCCTGAACAATATATATGCAATGCCTGTTACAAAAAATACTAAGATTAAAGAAGAAGATTTTTTAGTTTAGTTTCCTAGTTTATATTATCTAAATGATAAATGCTTTTTGACAGTGATATATTATATTATTAATTTTTTATAGTTTAGACATAAATTTTTGAATATCAATATCTAATTTACACATTAAATTATTCATTATTAAGGAGCGGATTTTTATTGAAATAAATCTTTTTTTTTTGCAAATACAGTTTGTCGAGAGAAGCTTAAATATGGTATTAGTTTTTCGATATTATTATTCTGAACTAAATTGTATTTCAATATATTTCAATATTTTTCCATTTTTCCATTTATTTCAATATTTGGCACTTTTTGCAATTTATTTCAATATTCTTGCATATTTTTACTAAAATTTTGGGATTTTTCATAAATTTTAGGAAAAAACTGAAGAAATCTAGACGTATGACAACCCTATTTCACAAAATTTTCGCCTGCGGCGCTGCAAATTGTGAATTCTGGCGTATATTGGGTAATTCTTGTAGGAGATTGTACTTACACTTTTTGTACTTATACTTAGAGTACCGAGTAATTGGGAAAAACCGAGTTCGAGTAATGCTGAGTTTTAAAAACCCGAGTCCTAGTACGAGTTCAACTTTTTAGGCAGAGTTCGAGTAAATCGAGTAATCGAAAAAACAAAATTCACCAAAATGTTCCATTTTTCTCAGTAGCAGCACATACATAAAAGGTTTTTCATGCACAAAAAGATTTTTTGTTAAATTTGAACTTTTTTTAAAATTTAACTACTAAACTAACAGTAATTTATTTCAATATTTTGCTTATTTTTGGCATTTTTTGTCAATATTTACCAATTTATTTGAATATTTTATGGCCATATTTTGCGATTTTATTTCAATAAAAATCCGCTCCCTATTCATTATTATACATACTTTATAAATCATTTATAAATTATTTCCATTTAAATGTTTTTAACTTAATATGTATTTGTGTGGTATCAAAATAATTATTAAACATATATTATTATGCAAACTAAAAATTAAAAATTTTAACTGAAATAAGATAATTATAATCATTTATAAATTATTTCCATTTAAATGGCTGCAACATAGTCAGTTTTTAATTTTTAGTTTGCATAATAATTATATGTTTAATAAAATCCTTTCAAATCCTTTCATTACAAATCCTTTCAAATGACAATAAAGGATATATAGACAATAAAGGATATAAACGATAGGAAACATAAACTCCTAGATTTTATTCTGGGGGTTAATTGGGATATCGTCGGATTAGGTATATTCTTGAATGGTTAATAACGAATCCGTCCGTTCTATCCTCTCTTTTTGCGCCACAGGCAAAAATTTTGAGAAATATTAAATCATTACTGACTATGTTGCAGCCAAGCAAATTCACCACACGGCCACCTGATCATATACATAGTGGCAAATGAAAGGAATTAAATATATTTCTTTCAATTTATTCTAACACCAAGTACGAGAAGTACGAGCTCGTACTCAGGCCTTGTACCTGGTACTTTTCACTTTTTTTGGCCTCGTACTCGTACTTTGTACCTGCCTCATTTTTTTGCTCGTACTCGTATTTCTTATCAGGTACGAGTAAAAGGGGCATACTTTTCATTAAATTTATATTTATTTATAGCTTTTTATTTAATTCTTGTTGTTTTTTTCTTCGTAATACCGTTTACAGCCACATGCATTACATAAATAGATTCCTGTTTCTGAATGACGGCGCCAACATTTTGTCTGTGTAACACCGCAAATAAAACATTTACGATCTTCCTTAAATTACTTAATCAGAAGTTATTTAACTGTGGTAAACCTTTTTAGTCTGAAAAAATAATTCATTCGATCTAAACCGTCCAAATTTGTGTTTATATTCACCACATTTTTTCCACAAGTAATGTCCTTTTAGTAAATTAAACCAGTATTTTGTTTGTGTAACTCTACAATTGAAACACTTTCTATTGTTTTCCTCAAGTATTGCACCTATAATTATAAATGTAAAATTTTTCGACAAATGAAAAGATATACATAGTTAAAAATTTATTTACTTATTTTATTGCCAATATAAATAATTCTGTTTTCTAATTCAATCGGATATTCAACTTTTTGTTTTTCTAACAATTCAATTTTATATCCAATTAAATTAATTTCCGTCCAATAACTTGATAAAAGATTGTCTTCGTAATTTTTTATAGTTTGTTTTAATAATTCTTTTTTATTTATTTTTGTATTTTCTAAACTCTCGTCTAATATCGAAGTTTTATAACAATTACCATTTTCAATAAAATTACTATTTCGGAGTACCTTAAATTTAACACAAATTAAAGTTTATTGCTGTTAATTTTTTGTTTGGTATCTAGTTGTGACACTAACAAATAAGCAATGGAAATTCTATTAATAAAAATATACCATTTTTTCAAACCCAGGCAGAAAATTTTGAATTATTTTATTATTACTAATTTCAATCCGAATTTTCTTTTTTAATTGACCAGATGGAATATATTCTGATCTATCAAATAGGTCAACTTCAAACATATTTTTATCTAGATTTATTTCAATCGAACGCAAATATCCATCTATATTTTTATTAATACTATCGTGTTGATTATTTTGTTTTATAATTACTTTCATCACAAAACGATCCTTTATTTCAATATTTTTTAAATAAATAAATTCTCTTTTTTCTTCCCAATCATCTTTGATTTTCACTTCAACGTGAATGAATTTACCGGCGCATTGAATTTTTAAAAATATATTTAAATAGATGAGAATAATAAAATTAAATTTAATCATCTGAAATTTAAAAAATTTATTTACAACATGGAGATAATATTATTTATTTATTTATTTATGAGCAACCACACGGTATAAAAATTATTCTAATAGTGGTGAAAAAAGACAAATATATGTAAAAAGAAAAAATTTTTGTAAAATAAATTAATTTAATAGAGTTAATAATAATAAAATATTATATGTGGGTATTAGAATGTGGGTAGTAGTTCCAAGACGAAAATTCCGCCACCCAATCGTAAACTTGAGTTGTGGGTTAGTGACTCGGGTAATAAAACTCGCAGCTGCGTGTAAAAACTGATACCTCATCCGATGAGGTTTAAAATCTTAGCCGCAGCTATTTAAAATTATTTAAACAATCCGAGTTCATTCTTAATTAATTAATAGTAGCTATAGAATAGAACAGAAATATAACAAAATTATCACTGAAACACTAAACTATCTTGATTAATACAAATATAAAATTGAATATATACTGTTGCTTTTTACAAAAACCGCGCTGTTATTTAATTTTAATAAATAACAAAAATAAATTGTTTAAGTTTTCAATTCATTTAAAAATAAATAAGGTAACATTTTAGGTATTAAAGAAATACACATAGATGCGCACATCAATCAAAGCACAAATCGAATAATAAATACCTATGGCAATATACTTAAAGTGCAATTATTAATTTCGAAAGGTCGTCTAAGTAAAAAATAAATAAATAATAAAGCGGTATATTTTAAAATTTCTTTAATGTTTATCAAGTAAAAATGATAAAGTACTTTAACAGTTTTGAAAGAATCTGTTTGTTTACTGAATTAAAATGTTGAGGATTTCAAAAATATTTTAATAAAATATTGTAATTGTTTCACGAATATGTCTAAAGGAAAAATGTAATTTTTACGACAAAAAAAGTTAAGTAGATGTCCAATAAACTTTTTCAAGTACTTTAACAAGTAAAAATTCGGGAAAAAATACCAGACTAAAATCCCTCTTGTCTTTTCGTCGTTTTCTCAATTCATCAATGACATATACCCCCGTCCTCAATTAAAATCTTCAATTCGAAAAAAGTTTATTTAAAAATTTTTTTTGAAGCTGTTTTAAGAGTACTTTAAATGCTCTTAATTAACATTAAAGAAATTTCAAAATTTCCCGCTTAATATTTATATATTTTTTATAAAGAAGCGGCATTTCAAAATTAATATTTGCCCTTTGATTAATTGCCACGGGATTTTTAGTCGATTTCTTGTGATGCTTTGATTGCTTTACCCTCTATACTAGTTATTTAGCATTTTTTAATAGTTAAAAACACTACGTTATTTATTTTCAGTAAAATAATAAAAAATTAAAAATAATTTTAATTTGTTATAAAATAAAATTTCACGTTAGTATTTACAAATAGCATAGGCTTTGTTTTATGACAAAAATGAAAAGAAATCCGATTAGATACATCCATAATTTTCAAAATTTTTGCCTTCGGCGCTGAAAAGGTTGAAAATAATTTTTTCGTGACTTTTGAGAATTTTGAACGGACTCCGAGCGTGTATCGCGGTACCTACTTTTAAAAGCATTCAACGGTACTTGTGAGTTATTGCAAGCCAAATTCAATTTAACTTATTTCCCTGTAACAAATTCACTTGACATTAATAAAGATTTTTGGTGACACTGAGGTTTAAATATATTAATTTATTCCAGATGATTAAATTTAATTTGATCAGTCTCTTATATTTAATTATTCAATTGAATATTCATTGTGTGGGAAAACCATTTCGTGTTGAGCTAAAAATCAAAGATGATTGGGAAGAAAAAAGAGAATTTATTTATTTAAAAGATGTTGAACCAAAGGAGCGTTTTGTTGTGAAAACAATCGTAAAGCATAATAATCGATATTTCGGCACTAATTACAATATGGAGGGATTTACACGTTTGGTTGACTTGGATCTTGGGGCAAATATTTTTAAAAATATTGAATTAGATGTTGGACGAGCAAATGATTTAAAATTTTTATTAAAAAGAAAAATCGTTATTGAGATTGACAATAATAATTTTATTAAAAAAATTTTACAAGGATTTGAAAAGCGGGTAATTCTTTTATAAAACGTCGAGACCTTAGCTAGGCGAAATTAAAATTTCGCTCTCAACGAAATTTGATTTTACGAAACGAAAAAAACCCAAAATTTTCACGAACAAGACAAAAAATCAAAATTCAGTAAGTTTAGGTGCAAAAAAGTTTCTCGAGTTGTACGTAATCGAAATACATCAAATATTTACCTCAAAGTCCTCTGATTTCACTTCAAATTCAATGATATCTTATTGAAGCACTCTGCCCAAATTCAATATCCCCGATTTAGTTGTACGAATACTATCGGAAATGCATCCCAATTAGTCTCTCCAAATCTCTTATATCAAGAAACCTTCTAATACCTCTAAGTCGCTAAGAATCACGAACGAAAATAATCTTTTTCTTTTATAACGAAACATGAAATAAAAGAAAAATAAAATTTACAACCGAAAATTGAATCGAAATTTTTCTGGACAAGACAAAACAAGGTCTTATATGTATAAATACGGAACGATCTGAATTTTCAATTTACAAAAATTACTGAAGTAAAAACTAATTTAAGGCACTCCGATATACTAATTTTACTGAAAAGGATAATTATTATGAAACTTCTATATTAGACGACAATTTAGAAAATAATATTGAGATGAATGCAATTAAAGAAAATAATTATTTATTAAAAGAAAATATAGAAAATTGCAAAAACAAACTTTTATCAAATTATTGGACGGAAATTAATTTAATTCGATATAAAATTGAATTGTTGGAAAAACAAAAAGTTGAATGTCCGAATGAATTAAAAAGCAAAATTATTGACATTGCAAATGAAATACGTAAATAAATTTTTATCATAGTTTATTTTTTCATTTAAATAAAACATTATTTTCATAATTATATTAGGTGATACTATTCAAGATAATAAACGCAATTGTTTCAATTGTGGTGTAAGACAAACATATCAATGGGGAAACTATTTAAAATTACATAATTTGTGCCATTTGTGCCGGAATTACAAACGCAGATATGGAAAATTTAGATTAGAGGGAATGTCATCTAATAAAGACAAGGTTTATTGTTTATTGAATTTAGGAAAAAATTACGATTGATTAATGAACGGAATAGTATGGATGGAAAAATAATAGGTCAATTTTATATAATTTTTTACTTCATCTGTATATCCTTATAAAAGTTCATTTCCGAAATCTTTATGGCTCTATGAAATTCGAATATCAGTTAAATTTTTAAGTAAGAGAACAACTCTAATTTTGAAGATGCTTTATGTAATATGCTTTATGTAATACTTTTGGAGTTTATACATGCCTAATCGAATATCCACCCAATCTATTTTTAAAGAACCTTCTAAATGTGAATTCTATTGGTGGGGCGTGCAAATGGATGAGTATTCTATTAAAGATTTTACGGTATGTCATTCATATTTTAGCGAATTACACCTTATCGAATTTGTTTTACTTGCGGAGCAATAAAAACATCAAAATGGGACCGTTATACAAAACCTGAACACTATTTATGTGATACGTGTTACAAAAGGTGTTTTGATTCTGGAGACATAAATCAACAAAAAAGTAAAGTATATTAAATTAAATTCATTCTGTTTCCTAAATATCTTTTATTTCTTCTCCAACGCAGTAAAATAATTGTTATCTTTTGAAGTTTACACATCTATAATTTACTATTATTTTAACCTAAATTTTTCTCAATCCTTTAGATTGTTATTCTTTTTCTTTATTTTTGTTTTTATTTTCAGGCGTTTAATAATAAATCTATTTCACCTGTTCTCTGAAACTAATAAAAATCCCCTTGACTTTACACTATAAACAATCTTCCTACAATTCAACTTTATATCCAATTAATTAATTTCAGCCCAATAATTGGGGTCACTTTAGTACGTGGGTCCCGGAGTTAATATACAAATGTTATACCATTCGAAAGAGCTAGTCGAGCAGAGTCGAATGACACCAAAATTAGCTCTAGGAAAAATTTTTGTACCGAGATATAGGCCCCTGAATTTTGAAAAACCATAGGGGGGACCAAGCTGTTTTTTGGAATGAAAAATTCGAAAATGCAAATGATATCTCATTCGAAAGAGCTCCTCGAGCTGAGTCGAATAACACCAAAATCAACAAAATCCGACTTGATTGGACCGAGATATAGGCCCCTAAAAACAGAAGATCCAAAGGGTCGGTTTTTGGAATAAAAATTTTTTTACACAAATAATAACTCATTCGAAAGAGCTCGACGAGCTGAGACGAATGACACCAAAATCAGCGTGATTGGAAAAGATTAGACAAAGTAATGACACAAAAAACAACAAAACCTAAACCTATGGAGCGTCGGCGAGGCGCTTGTGCAAAACCCCGCGCTTCGCGCGGGGTTTTGCGGCACGCGCCGCAAAATTGCATTCGACTCAGCTCGAGGAGCTCTTTCGAATGAGGTATCATTTGCATTTTCGAATTTTTCACCCCAAAAAAGTGCTTGGTCCCCCCTATGGTTTTTCAAACTCCAGGGGCCTATATCTCGGTTCAAAAATTTTTCCTAGAGCTAATTTTGGTGGCATTCGACTCAGCTCGACTAGCTCTTTCGAATGGTATAACATTTGTATATTAACTCTGGGACCCACGTACTAAAGTACAGCCCAATAATTTGATAAAAGTTTGTATTTGTAATTTTTTATGTTAATATCAATTGGTTTTAGATTAAATTTTTATTGAAATTCGCATCTAGTTATTAAGTTTTATAATAATTATTATGTTCTACAATGAAATTTTATAACGGATTACCTTAAATTATAATTAAGTTATTGTGATGGCTTGAAATCCTATTAGATCACTTTATCCTCCCTAATCGCTGATATCCTCCAACTCCTTCAATATTACTCCAAATCCAAACAAATTCCGTGATGTCACTAAAATTCCGTTGTATAAATTTAATAATCCAAATTCATCAATATCCTTAAAATCCCTCCTGATCCCTATACTATATCATGATCAAATTCCTCGATGCCACAAACTATTAGGGCCCACTTGTACCAGAAATTTTGATTATATGCATCGAAGTTAATCAAGCTTTGCCTTCTTAGCGCATTGCAAGTTATCAAAACTTTTGAGTTAGTGATAATGAAGGAAAATTAACAAAATAAATTCAAAATATCGAATTTTACTACTAAAAAGTCGACAAAATTTCGAATTAAAAAATAATAGATCGGATATTCGATTCATCCAATCTCTACTTCTTACCTATGAAGAATAGAATGGCCACCTCATTTGAATGGTGTCCGGAAAATTGGGCTCTGGAAAATTGGGCTCCAAGATTCTTCGGAAAATTGGGCTCCAGCGGAAATTTGGGCTCTACGTGAAAAAAACGGAAAATTGGGCTCCAATTTTTTAGGCGCGGGGAATTGTGGGCGTTAGAGTGAATTTTTAGATTTATTCCAAAAATATCACAAAATTCTCTGGAATAACTTTTTTTACTGTTACTTAGTGGGTAGGTCGGCATTTGAAAGCTGAAAATCAGTAAAAAGGAATAGGTTTATGTTACTGTTGTAGAACCCAGCGACCGTTGACTACCGCGAGGCGCGTGTCGCAAAATTCCGCGCGAAGCGCGGAATTTTGCACAAGCGCCTTGCCGACGCCCATAGGTTTACGTTGTTTGATTTTGTGTCATTTTTCGTTGAAATCTAAAAATTCACTCTGACGCCCACAATTCCCCGCGCCTAGAAAATTGGAGCCCAATTTTCCGTTTTCTTCACGTAGAGCCCAAATTTCCGCTGGAGCCCAATTTTCCGAAAAATCTTGGAGCCCAATTTTCCAGCACTCTTTCAAAGCTAAATAGACAATAGTATAATTTTTAGCAGGTATATGAAGAAGTACCTTCACTAAAAGAAACCATAGCTAAATGTCCAGTTACGCTAAAAGAAATAATATTAGGCTCAACAAACTATATTGAGGTAATTAGTTTTATTATTACGCAAGCATATAATCATTGACTGTATTTTAGTCTTTTATTGATTCAATGATAGACACTCAAAAACTGGAAGGCGAACAGAAGCGGGAGTCGTGTCCTTCTTTTCTGTTACACTTTCTCCCTTCGTTGTGGTAGTCGGAGTTGGGGGAAGGAGTGAAGGATCTGAGGATTCTTTCGAATTAACAAAAATATAGTCTCCTGTTTTTTAAATAAGAGGTAGAATTTTTGGAGGTAGAATTTTTTTCAACTCAAATTTCTTTTGACAACATCTTTATTAGCTGAATTTAGTTCAGCTTCAAAACTTGTCGCTGAAAAAGCCCGAACTGATTAAATTAGTCAAAATCATGAATATAATAAAAACAAATAATAAAAATATAGAGAATGAAAGCATATCAAGGAGTAAGGGAAATTTTGAAAATTTTATTGGAATATTTTAACAGAATTTTTTGATAATTCATAAAGGAGAGGGGAATTTTTTAAAGAAAACAAAAAAGTCAAGCAGAAAAAACTATAATTGAAATTTGATAGCATTGTTTATATTATTTTATACTCATTTTCATCCATTCATCGTTGGGTGTAATCTGACTTTTCCAAATTGTAGCAACTTTCAACTTCGATCTATAAAATCAAATTAAACTAAATTTTAAATCAAAGTCAACCATTTGCTTTAATATTTTTAGTAGATTTCTTTATTCTTTTCTGTTTATTGTAGCAAGCAGCACATAAATATTGCCCTGGTTTTGAATGACGGTACCATTGTGATGTATGAGTAACAGCGCAAATAGAACAATTTCGATCGCATGGTGTTATCTAA